TATTATATTTTTTTACACTTGATCTTAGCCAAAAGACTAAGAATTAATTTCTTTTCTTTTTTTTTTTTTTTAAAGGCTCAACTGGCTATACCCATGGCATATAGCATAAGGGAGCCAAATCCCACATGATAAACCACTGTTCAAATCCTGGTCCTAGCAGCTTGAAAAATACAGTGGGCACATTTGTGTGCATGGTCCAAATCCCAGCAGGATGGAGGAATGGAGAAGGGACTACAGAGTGACCATGCCCTATTGCACACCCCCTCTCCCTCTTTCTGGTGAACACGCACACCCTCTGACGGAAAAAGTGTCCATCATTCCCTGACTGATGGGGTAGGGGGATAAAGAGATTTTTCTATGAATACTACTACCTTAGGTTCTAGACTGCAGAAATAAGTCCACAAATAGGTACACAATATTTACTACAGTGGAGCTGGCAAGTGGTATGGTGGTTAAGGCACTGGACTCCCACATGGGTGGCCACGGTTCAAGTCCCAGACCTGTCAGCTTGCTTTCTTACTCTCTCTCTGCTCAAACTGAATAATAACAAAATTAAATAATAAATTATTTTAAAAAATTATTTCAGCACTGCCTAGAGGGGAGGGAAGAAGGAACACTCTGAATGTCTACTTGGTCTACAAAAATATTTTATTTTGTCCATATTTGGCCTGTATTTTTCAATTAGCTATCAAGTGGAAAAATGGAATATCACTGTCCACAAGAACTTTCTGCACGGAAATAAACGTTCAAAACCCACATTCTACAATGCGACAGTCACTGGCCACATGCAGTGGTTAAGCACTTAGAAAAACAGCTGGTGCCACTAAGAAACTCTTTATCTCATTTGAAATAGTACAAATTTAATTAAATTTAAATCGCTACAAGGAACTAAGAGCTACAATATCTGCAGATGCTACAGAACTAAAGATTGTTCATTAAGGTTAGGCTTTCCAAATTCTGTTTTATATATTTCTTTTCTGACTTTACTTTTTAAATGCCAGAGGGTATATGTGTTCACCAGGGAGACAGAAACAAAGAGAAGGAAAGGGTGAAAGCACCCCACCACCACCAAGTGAGGCATGATCAAGCCACAATCCCTTCTCCTCCATTTCTCCATCCTTTTGGCATTTGGGGAATAGACGCACATGCACCTGGCTTATTTTTCAAGCTACTGGGGCTTGGATTCCATGGTCGATCATGTGGGATCCGGCTTCCTTAATCACTAGGCAACAGGTGACAGGGCTAGTTGTCAAATCCTATTCAGAATCTGAAAGAGGTCCCACTGTGGTGGTGTAGACGGTGGGATGCCACTGAGTGATGCAGAAGCCATATGAGAAGGCCCAGGGTTCAGGCCCTGGGTTGACATGAACAAACTGGGTGTTCGTGCCCATGAGCCTGGCTGACTGAAAAGCTTGAGGGAGGACTGCAGTGTAACGGGACTCCGTCAGGTGTACTTGTCTTTGTCTCTCTCAAAGATAATAAATTAAAAAACAAAACCTGAGGATCCACGAACACTGAGTCTATATTCCTGTAAAGCAACAAAAGGCTACAGTCGAGAAGGCGCAGCTGCCTTCAGACAAAGCATGCATTTTCCAGTCTGCCACAGTCCCCACCACTCCCTATTCTCAGATATTCTCTCATTTCCTTCATTTATATCCCTGATCAGGACCCTGATTTGTGCAGTTTCCCTTGACCAAATCCTCTTTTTAAAAAAATTAATTTTAGGAACCAGCAGTTAGCATAATGGCTATGTCGCTGGACTCCCACGTAGTCGACCGCGGTTCGCGTCCTGGACCCAGTGGCTTAAAACTCACCCGGGTGCATGTGCGTGCGTGCCCAAGATCCTGAGAGGAGAATGGAGGGAAACGGATTGCGGCGTGACCATCCCCCGTGGGGGGTGATTTCTCGCTTTCTGTCGCTATGTCTCTCTCTGTCTGTCTGGCGAGCGCACGCGCCCTATAGCAAAAACCTCTCCAAAAAAAAAATTAATTTTATTTATTATTATTTTTCTAGTTTATAGGTCATATGTACTAACCAGAAAGAGACAGAGAAAGAAGCAAAGGGAGAGAAGGAAACTGGGACTTGAACTGTGGTCAACCACATGGAAGTCAAACATCTTAACCACAATGTCACCTGCTGGACTCTTGACCAAACCCTCGTTTTTTTTTTGTTTTTTTTTTTTTTTTAAGAGGTTTTTGCCTCAGGGCCAGCAAGTGGTGTGGTGGATAAGGGTATTAGACTCCCACATAGCTAAGGTTTGAGACCTGGACCAGGGAGCTTGTTTTCTTGCTCCCTCTCTCTCTCCCTCTGTCCTTATGTGCCCATATTAAAAAAAAATACTAAAAAGTTAAATCAAATAATTATTCTTTTTAAAAACTTTTTTTGCCTTAGACTGTGTGCACTCATGTTGGGGTGGGGAAGACAGAGACAGTGAGAGGTAAACCAAGAAATCATCCCCCAGAAGGATGGCCATGCCGCAATCCCTTCTCCTCCATTCTCCTCCCTGGTCTTGAGCATGTGTGTATATGCACCTGGTGTGATTTTTCAAGTCATCAGGTCTAGGACTTGAACCACAGCTGGCCATGTGGGAGTCACTGATGTAATAACTATGCCATCTGCTGTCTGCTGCTCTCTCTCTCTCTCTTTTTTTTTTTTTTACGAATTATGTATCTTTTAAAAAGAATTACGCATTTTATTTTATTTATTTATTGAGAGAGATTTTTGCTATGGGACACATGTACTCACCAGAAAGACAGTAAGAGACAGAGACAGAAATCAAGAAATAACCCTCTAGGGTGAATTGCCATGCCATAATACCTACTCCTCCAGTCTCTTCTCAGGATTTTGGGCCTATATGCACATGTGCCCAGCATGAGTTTAAGCCACTGGATCCAGGACTCAAACCACGGTCAATTATATGGGAGTCTAGCAACATAACCATCACGCCATTTGCTGGTCCCCTTTTTTTTAAATGTGCACACATATGCTCACTTGAGACAGACAGAGAGAAGGAGAGCAGGAAAGTGAGAAAGCAAGTCACAGGCCTGGGACTTGAACCACAGTTAGTCATGTGGGAGGAGCCCAGCATCTTAACCACCATGCCACCTGTTGACCCTCTAACACAGTTCTTTAGCTTAAAAAAAGTCAATGTTGTTCATATGTAATGGGTTTATAATTGCTATTTTATTTATTTATTTTTTTAAAGAATTATGTTATTGGGAACCAGCAGTTAGCATAATGGCTGTGTCACTGGACTCCCACGTAGTCGACCGCAGTTCGCATCCAGGACTCGGTGGCTTAAAACTCACGCCGGGCGCGTGTGCGTGCGTGCCCAAGATCCCAAGAGGAGAATGGAGGAGAAAGGATTGCAGCGTGACCATCCCCCCTGGGGGTTGATTTCTCGCTTTCTGTCTCTCTCTGTCTGTCTGGCGAGTGCACGTGCCCTATAGCGAAAACCTCTCAAAAAAAATAATAAATAAAAATAATTATGTTATTCATTGTCATTATTATTTTTTTTATTTTATTTAAGTTGACCAGAGACAGACAGAAAGAGAGAAAGAGAGAGCAAAAGCAAGCTCCCAGGTCCAGGTCTCAAACTACAGTCAGCCATGTGGGAATCTAGCTGCCTTAACCACCGTGTTGCTTGGTACTGTAATTGCTTTTTTTTTTTTTTTTTTTGAGAAGCTTTTGCTACAGGGAGTGTGCACTCACCAGAAATACAGAGACAGACAGAGACAGAAAGTGAGAAATCACCCCCCAGGGGGGATGACCATGCCACAATCCCTTCTCCACCATTCTTTCGGGATCTTGGGCACGCACCTGGTGTGAGTTTAAGCCACCGGGTCCAGGACTTGAACTATGGTCAACTACATGGGAGTCCAATGACATAGCCATTATGCCAACTGCTGGTTCCCGTGTAATTGCTATTTTTAAATTGATTAATAAATATCTTGGAAGTTTATTAATTTAAGCTTAAACACTAGTATTTAAGCAAATATCAGTAGATATAGTTCACATAAACAACTCTAGGATCCTCAATTACTTTTAAGTGTGAAGGGGTCTTAAGATCAAAATTTGGAAACTGCTGCTCTGAAAAGAAGTCCTAGGTATATGCATGTGCCCAAGTGGGTGCCTATGGAACACAGAAAGAAACCCTAAAACAAAAATTTCAAGTGGGTGGCCAGCAAACAAGTTTTATGTGGCCCCCACACAGCCTTAGTCTGCCAACCCCCTTTTTATTTTTCCTTTCTCCAAGGGCCTTATTAAATTCATTGCCAGCATTAAAAAATCAGAAGGTTTCAGGGCCAGCAGGTGATGTCGTGGTTTAGGCAATAGACTCCCATATTGCTGTTTATGGTTCGAGTCCTGGACCTGGCAGCTTGAAATTCACACAAGGCATGTATGTGTGTGCACACCCAAAATCCCAGGAGGAGAATGGAGAAGGGATTACAGTATGGTCATCCTGTTTGGGGGAGTGACTTCTCACTTTCCCTGTCAATGTTTCTGTCTCTCTCCAGCAAGCGCATGTGCCCTATGGCAAAAACCTTAAATAAAACAAAATAAATTTTAAAAATTAAAAAAAGGAAAGAGACCTATGGCCTCCTCTCAAAAACTAAAAAATGCTAGCAGCACTGGCCTGGCATTTCCACTGGCTGGCAACACTTAGGTGGGGCATACGATCTTCAGTTTGTCATAATCCCTGCTATTACAACCTTTACCTGCTCATCCCTGGCAAGTATCTGAGTTGCTACCCTGAACTAGAGAAGTTTTGAAAAATATTTATTGCAATAAATATTAATAATGAAACAGAACAATCTCATAAATGTCTATCCTCCAAAGAGACATGCACAATAAATAACCCTTTTTCTCCTAACTTCCCAAAGCAGCAACTTGTATAGGCATTGGTATAGACTCTCTGGTTAAGAAGCCCTGCGGAGAAAGAAAGAAATGCATCTGACAAAGTGGGAGTCTTTGGACAGGTGCAAAGGGAGGAAACTCACCAGGAGAAGAGAAAGGGAGTGAACCTCTGGGAAATGGGGGCCCAGTTTAGGCCCCACAGGGAGGGGATTCAGGTGACAATCAGACCATTGGGGTTTTTCTTCCTGGAACGCTGGGCGGTAAATTCAGGATACTCATCCAATTTCTTTTGCCCTGCAAGTAGGTGGTGGAAAGGAAGGGGCCGTCAGAACTTGGGTCCCAACAAAACAAGCACACACATGAAACTTGGGTCCCAACAAAACAAGCACACACATGAACTTTGGGAAGAAAAAAAGCAATACTAAATACTAGGTGGTGGGAACAAGTTTTGTTGGCAAGAGAAAATATTTCTTTCTTTCCTAGTATTTCACCCCTGGGAAGGGACCTAGAGAGTTTTGCTGGGAGAAGCCAAACTGGGGTGGAATTAGTGATGAAAAGAAATATTTGTTGGAAAGATGGGGAAGGGTGGAAAATAATTAGATGGGAGAGACACTGGAAGGACTGAATTGGTTTGTTAGAAGTGGGACAATATTCCGGGGGGGGGGGGGGAAAAATGGGGGACTCTAGATTGGAAAAAAATTTTGCTGAAAAGTGATGCTGAATGGAAATAAAAAATATCTGAGTTAAAAAACATACATTGCTGTTATTTGCTAGAGAAAGTTCCTAAAAGAGGGATGAAAGAGTAATCACGGAAAATAAGAGAGATTTGTGTTCTTGCTGGAAGATCCTTAAAAGAGACAAATCTGGGTCCTCTCCAGTGAGACTACTAAGGAGGAAGACGGTTTTAGCAGCAGGGCCTGGAAGACGAGGGCGAATGCAAGGTCGAGATGCAGAAGGCGCGGAGGTCGGGTAAGGGCCCGGCGCGAGCTAGCGGGCTCTGAGGGGGCAGTTAGGGCCTGGGGGCGGGAGAGGAAAGAAAAGGGGGTGCAGAGGGCCAGACACCACACAGGA